ACTAGGCTTTGCGTGCTGAAGATGAGCGAAGATTGAAGGTCTTTGACCACCACTGCCTGTGGACCATCCTGCGAGTTAAGTGTACCGATTTCATCTCGCATAAGACAGTCCGCACCCGCTGCGATCGTATCACGTGGATGTCTCAGGCCATTCAGGAAAGGTGACTAGAGTGTTTTGGGCACGTTTTCCATCGTCCGCCTTACATGCTTTGCTATGCTGCCCTAGATCCAGCGCAGCTATTCCAAGTGTATACACGGCTGAGGTCCGGAGCACATCATAGCTTGCCTTAATTTACGTCCTCTCACCTCTGTCCACCAAAAGCTGTGCCCCATTCTACCAAGTTTGACCTAGGATACTGCTGCTGGAGGTTACATGCCACTGCTCAGAGTGCTGATTCTGGTAATCATTCTTACTAAGACCAGCGGATAGTATATTCTAGTGATATAGTCGTGCAATTGTATCACTAGCTGACATTCATCCTATTTTTGCAACAAGCATAACAGATGGGGGAATATGAGCTTACCCGCGCCCCAAACGTCATCAGGGTTTATTTGTAAGATAACCGGGCGAGCGTTCACGTCCGATATGGAGGTAAGACTATTAACAATAACTTGCAGTGGGCAGGCAAATATCAGGACGCCTAAGTTCACTCATGATTGGGTGGCTGAGTAACCCATTTTTAGAAACACGGTCGTGGCCGACTACAGAGCGTGTGGATTTGACACATAGAGGCTGGTATCGTAGAGGGTCCCACGGTATTTATGCGGGGGGGGAGACGGCCATGGTAGCAGGGCATTCTCCAAACGTGGGCAACACAAGCCTGGGCTTCCTTACCACACATCCCATTATACTCCACCTAATCACAACCCAGAACAGACCTACCGAAAAGCCACGTGCCCGCTCCGACTAACAACGCGTCTTCCACATCCTCCTTACCTTAGCACCTTGACGTCTCTGTCAAGCGCTGCCAGATAGGTATAGAGACTTACCCCCCTCCCCCGTTATATCCTATTAAAATGCATGCCCCATCGTTTACTTTCCTCATTCCGATTTTCGGCTACTGCAGAACCTACCTGCAAGGGGGGTCGGCTTATGACTGGTTTCCTCCCCTCACCAAGTTCCCTATGTGTATGCTTTCGCGGGGCGATTTCTTGTTGGAACACTTTTATAGGTGTTTGGTTAATGCGGCTACTGTTACTATAATTTAGGTATCTTCTACATGCAAGCTAAGCTATTGCCACATTTGTGGTCTTGCCTATAACGCAGTTACTTTCCGGGGGGACGATCGGGTGTGCCCCGCATTCTCGTGTAATCTCGAGCCGAACAGAAGTCCTGTTTCGAGAACTTTGTTCCAAGATTGGGCAGTAACTTCCGACGGACTTATAGCCCTAACTTCGATGGTCAAACACGGAAGTAGGAACCCCCCCGTAATGCAGGTGGCCTTGCGCTAAATGCCAGGAAGCTTACGGTTAAGGTTATGTATGAGTTTATGGTTAGAGTTAGCATACGGGAATAGGTATTCGTTCTGAACCTTA